TGTTTCAGGTATTAGAGTAAATGTAATAACCTGGTCAGAACATTAGGATGTCTTAACATACATGTGTCAAATATTTGGAGGGGCATTGGGGTAGCCTGGTGGTTAAAGCGTTCGCTTGTCATGCCGAAGGCCCAGGTTCGATTCACCACATGGGTACAATGTGTGAAGCCCATTTCTAGTGTCTCCCGCCATGGTATTGCTGGAATATTGCTAAAAGCGGTGTAAAACCAAACTCACTCACTCAAATATTTGGAATCATCTTGAGTCTTTTCATTTAGATTAAAAGTTAAAGCCATCACTCATCATGACCCAAAGACTCGAGGTTAATTCTGCACATGGATACAATGAGTGAAGCCCATTTCTGCCATCCTCCTCTCGTGATATTGTTGAAATATTGCTAACAGCGCCATATTAAAGCCATTCTCACTGAGTTTTAATTGAGCACTTTGTGATAAAACATGGGTGGGAAACATAAATTGACACTAAATTGGATCGGAATTATCCCTAAATAAAGGCTGGTGTGGCTGATTAATTTGTTCAGCTGATTAACAAGTTAGGCTAATTAGGGTTGAGTTCACACATGAGAAACAGTGATTTGATACATTCCACAGATAAACAGTCTTTGAAGAAAGACAACAAGGATGATAAACGCAGACAAGGATGGTGATGGGTTGAAGGAAACTTGTTTGATAGAAAACCTGATCCTGCTGTATCAGGAACCCGTTCTTTCACAGAGTATCCTGCTATTTTAACACTGCACTTGTTGTACGTGATGGCCTGGCTGAGAGTCAGTTGGCCACACTGTCTGTGTTGTGTGGTATGTTTCAGTACTGACAGTGACTAGACTGCACTTGCATGTTGATTATCGGATCGACCACTGAATTATTTATAAGCTGCTGTAATAATAGTGTGGGTGTGATATTCCCTATGGTTGGTTGTATGTTATGTCGTGGATTAAAGTCACTTGAATCTGTCAATGAGCCTAGAAAGTGTGTGTTTATACAAGTTTGGGAACCAACCAAATCAAATGATCTTTGACATGAACCATTATATATTTATATATAATTTCCCTATTCTTAAGCATAATGATCAAAGGGGCGGTGGGGTAGCCTAGTGCTTAAAGCGTTGGCTTGTCACGTTGAAGGCCCTGGTTTGATTCCCCTCTTGGGTACAATGTGTGAAGCCCATTTCTGGTGTCCCCTGCCATGATATTGCTGAAATATTGCTAAAAGCGGTGTAAAACCATACAAACTCACTCACTCACTCATAATGACCAATGGTTGTGTCAGTTTTACTTACATTTACTTACATGGAAAGACACATGGTCAGATAGTCAATGAATTCCTGGTTCAGAATCTACTGCAACTACAATGGCGTCACATCATTGTGATTGTTAATCAAAGTTGATGTCTCATCACATGAACACCAGTGCCCAGAACTAACCTAAAATATGTCACTAAATTAATTTGAGTAGACCTATCATTGATCGTGATGAAGTGGACAACCATCATATTGAACACCATGTCATTAATCAGATGGGCCAGGTGCTGGGAAACTGATGTTAGAGTACCACCTAGCCTTACTCCAGGCTGCACTGAGTGATAACTCCATGGATATGTATTATTATTATTATTATTATTATTATTATATGGGTATTCATATAGTGCTATAGTCCATCCAACATGCATGCTCAAAGCGCCTCTTTGTTTTTCCCTCAATCATTAGATGTCAATCTCAACGGCACATCATATTATCAATCTCAACTCCCTGGGGAGCATACAACTCTTGCTGCTACTAGGCACACCGAGTTATTGCAGCTTTTCCATCCTTTGTAGTTTGTTTGTTGTTTAAATTTTCCAGCTGTATGATGTAAGGCTGTAAATAACTGAGTGAATGACATCATGAACATAGATACCACTACTACTACTGCTAATAATAATAATAATAATAATAATAATAATAATAATAATAATTCATTTATATAGCGCCTAGTATTCATCTGACTAGTTGCTCGCTGGTCTCTGTAATCAGAATCTGATTATTATTACCCCGGATGACCCAGGCTGGCAGACCTGTAAGGCACTAGAAGGTTATGTTCACATGACTTTATCCAACCGGGTGTCCATTTTCTGCTGGGTGAACAGAGACAATTTTGAACAAACTCACTTGCCTAAGGTGAGACCACATGTATCATATGTGCTTCGTTGTGGGGCAGGACTGAAGTCCTAGAAACTCTCAGATGTCAAGCTGCCAAACAGGGTCACCATCCAAGGACTCTCCGAACTCCACGTTGCTTAACTTCAACTGATATGTGACCTGAGCTCTATGCACAGGACCACACACTGCCACAGATCTATGATCTTGGGATATAATGCCATGCATCAACAAAGTCAGTCATCAACATGGTCAGTGAGTCTGACCACCAGATCCATTAGTCACCTCAGACGACAAGCACTAAATCTATCCTTATATTAGTTATAATAAGCAAGCCTAGATAAGTCGTTTTCAGGGACAACTAAATGTTCTTATCTGTATGTAATCTTGAAATATGAAGTAAGTTATGGATTGTTGTTCTGGAGATTGAAGCAAGGTTAGATGGAACAGCATGATTCCACAAAACATCTATCCTTTTTTCTATATTTGATTATTTTGGTATTTTTATGTACACCGTACATAAAATCAGTGTAAACTGTTCCTGATTGACCATCCATATTAAGGTCAGTTCATATCACTGTTCACTCCACTCACACAGTAGCACCAACACTTTTCTAGATCTATACTGAGTCACTGTAAAAATGCATTATCAACTTTAACACAAAACATGTTTTTGTGCTTTTCTAAAGATCAAATGAGGTCTTACTCTTAATCTATGTCACTGTCTTGAGTATAAAATTTGATTTTTGTGGCCTTTTTGACAAATATTACTAACAAGGAGACATGCCTTTTTACAGTATCTTAGTATATGTTCAGTCAAGAAGTTACGTTACCTGTCGACTAATGTTTAATGTCTAAATATTTTTAATTTTGATAGTAACAAATAATTCCATTTAAATTGAAAATAAGCCCCAGTGAGGAAATAGAAACTTGTTTCATCAAGGGCTTTAGCATTGCAGAATACTGGTCAGAAGGGATAATAATGTGGGCCAGGGGAGAGTACTGCACTTTACCGGGCGCACATTTTCAAGTTAATTAGCGCTGCTGGGGTTCCCTAACCCCAACCCTAACCCCTAACCCTAAGGATCGTAAAGGGTGCCTAACCCTAAGGATCGTAAAGGGTGCCTAACCCTAAAACCTAACCCAAAGGATCGTAAAGGGTGGCATACCCTTACCCTAAGGATCGTAAAGGGAGCAGCGAGGGCTGCGCCCAGTAAAGTGCATGCTAGCCGGGCCAGGGTCTGTTTCTACATTAACTGCAACATTACTTCTTGTTTTGTATGAAATGACAAGTTTGTCATGAATTGACGAGATATAAAGAAGCTACCAGTAACTCTGAAACAGTTGCTCATGACTGGACGAGCTTTACTTCCAATGTTAAACTGATGGTAGACCTGTGTTAGTGTCAGTGTTGTAGACAAGCTGCTAGTATTAGTAGTAACACAGAAACAGTTGCTGCTTGAGTTTGAATCGGGTCATTGTTTTACGATGAGAAATTCCAATGCTCCATTGTATAGGAGTGGGATATTACTCATGAAATTCCAGTCTCACTGTGTCACTTGCTTCATTGAGGAGCTTGGGGCTGACCCACATGTTAAACACATGCCGTCATTGCCAGGGAGTAACAAGGAAGACAGCTGGTCCCTGTTTCACAACTGCTTCTCCAGATATAGGAGCTGGACATGTCATGAGGACATATTTTATGAGAGCATGAGCTTCTTTGATCCAGACTGGCAGACTGATATCACTATTATCAGCCTATGCCTTCAGCCACTGGTCCAGTGTGTGGTATATACCCTCATTTAGACCTGCTATCTTGAGGTGAGGTGAAATAGGGTTTAAGTGCCAGACGACTAAGTGAAAGTGGCGGTGGCTGAGTGGGTTAGGTGGCTGACTTTGTGTGCTGGCAATTAGGTGCCTGACTCTGAGGGTATGGGTTCAAATCCCAGATGGGAATCAACCCAACAAAAGTACTAGAATCTGTACTTTACTAAGAAAGTGTAATCTCAAATATAACATACGTTACATTTGACCACTTTCAAAATTGCATTGTGTAATCACACTGAAAAGATGCCAAGCTTTAGCATTGTTTAGAGGACACAAATGGTCTCACTATTCTATGACTGAACCAAGGATTTCATTGCCATAAATGAGTCAATATCAAACAGCCTATGTTAAATCTTGTTTCAGCTGAGTTTTGTTCCTGGTTAGTCTTTCAAGTCTTGCGGATGTTTTGTTCAATTCTGTGTCTTGCTGTTGAGAACCAACAGCTGGTGTACAGGTGGACTAGAAAATAATTGATCTTTCTAATGTCATACTGTTTATTTTATTCCATGAGCTGAAGACAGAAAATTGATTTGAAAGGAAAAGTATTTACATTCTCCCACATGTAAGGTCTGCTAGCATTAGAACAGAAGATAATGAGAGCCAGGTTGATGAAATGTGTGGTCATTGTACCCACTTTTCCTTCCAACTTGGAGATTTGTTGCTAACACTATCAACCACTGGTTTCACTGGTCCAGTCACTTGGTCATTTACAGACAGCCATGATATACGTAGAGAAACAAATAAAGGAACACAGGAAAATTCAAGCGTTCCTTTATTATTTTCCAGTTTTCATCACCACAGTGCTATTCAAAGTTGGTGATAAAACCTAGAAAATATTAAAGGAACACTTGAATTTTCCTGTTCCGTCTTTTTTTTCCCTCTACGGATATGTCAGGATAGTGCTTTGTTTTCCTTAGAACAGTGTTCTCTCACTTGTTGCGATTTGTGATCATGTATTATTTTCCAGAAGTTTTAATTATGCTTGAATGTGATATTTAATCAATGATTTGATTTTTCAGGCAGTGGCAATCAACAAGGCTATCAACAGTCAAGAAACCCCAGTCAAAGAAAAACATGTTCGAAGTATCCTTTTGAATATTGTTGTTACTTTATGAAACAGCATGTACAGGTTTGAGAGGTTTCCAACTTTAGTCGTAGATGATTTGATCATACTCATATAATGAAAACATAGTAAAGTTCGCTTGTCAAAGATTTCTGGACACAAGCTTTTTCATGATGATATTGCAGGACTGACCCGAGCAGATCGGGGTTAGAATTAGTCTTCAGTAAACCCATGCTTGTCGTGAGAAGCGACAAACAGGATCGGGTGGTCAGGCTCACTGACTTTACACATGTCATCCTATCCCAATTAGATGCTCATGATGTTGATCACTGGATTGTCTGGTCCAGACTTTGATTATTTACAGCTCGGCGTCATATATGTTGAATATTGCAGAGTGTGGCGTTAAACACCAAACATCATATCTGCCTCGAAACATCTTGACATAGAAATTACAGAATGGCATTGTCCACTGAAAATTTGTGTAAATTCTCTTGAGCATAGTGCACACTTGTTTGTCTTTTCCAGTGTTTTGGTGTTATGATATTACTGGAATACTGTTCCAGGCTGTGTTAAACTGGCTTGGTCACTCTCAAACAGTATGTACTCCCCAATGTTGGGTGCTCACTTACTCTTGTTTTTCATAAATGGTGAATTTAGAATTTGTTGATGCTTCAGTTCCCTCTTTTCTTTCAAAGTGGTTCCTGATATTACATAAATATGTGATTTTATGAAAAATATGTGAGTGCTTTTAAAAAAAAAATGTAAGAAAAAAAAGATAAACCCTACCTAACTACCCTGTTTTATAATTTCATGTTACCCTAGACACACATATTATTTCTTTTGGGCCTAAAGGAAAATGGTGGCAAAACTTAGTCAGGTTTTGTCAGTAGTTTTTGCAAAGGCTGTACTTACACAACATTCTACTAATATAATGTCCAAATGACAAGATTTGGCTGATAGGCTTGGGCATAGAAGTTTCCATATTAATGACAATGGTCAGTGTCTGCACGGAACACCAGGTGGTCAATGAAACCATTTAATGTTAAATGTGATGTCGCTAATGTCCCTGTTGCCAGATTTATTTCCATTAGGCGTGTCAGCCAAGATGGTGGTCAGTGTCTGAACTGGACACACGTTGTCACACACAGCAGCCGGGGTAATGTGAGACCATAACCGATTAATCTCTTAATTTGTTTTGATAGAATTACTTTGACTGAGCATGACATGTGGAGGATTCACAGGCTCTTGGTGTGATATTCTATGCTTGTTAGGGATAAGTGACCCATCCATTAAGAGGTAAAGTAGCAGAAATGCCATCAGAATTGATTGTCATGATGAAATTGATGTGGATTGACCAGTCCACCTAAGACCTTGTCTCATGATCAAGCTGAAAATGATGAAGCTGAAAGAAAGCTGCTGAGGAAATGTTTTGTGATATTATTTCAGAAAGAAACTAATTAAGGAGTTTTTTTAAATAAGAAAGTCTGTTCAAGATAATTAAGACCTGCAATAATCTATTTACTTCAACATGAAAATCAGTGAAGAAAATATATGTTGTTTCTGCGGTACATTATGTTCGAATCCAGGACAAAATCCACCCGGACAAAATCCACCCAGACGAAATCCACCCCCAAATTGCAACCTTGGACAAAATCCACCCTTAATAAAATCCACCCTAAGAAAAAAACAACTAATGACATGTTTAGTCACAGAAATGAATTTTATTCATATCAGTCATTCATAATCGATAACAAAAACAACCAAAATACATATGTAAGCACATTTTGTAAGCACATTTTTGCATATATATATATGACAATTGCACATTTTCACATTTCACATTTATGACTCATTCATGCATCAATACATATATAAATATGACAACAGCATATATTTTCACACATTCCGACATATCTATGACTAAACATCTTGCCACATTTCAAAAACGCAAACAACGTCCGACGTTGTGGAGAAAGTCCTCGAGTGTCTTGTCCTTCGCTGCATAGGTCTTGCACAGACCTTCAAGGCGTTCTTGGAGACGTTTGGTGGTTGTTCTGGTTCTTTTCTTAGGGGGCTGACCTCTTTCAGACCTGTAGATGGCTGTACCATTGTCTTTTCTCAGACAGTCGATGACAGCCAATCAGGCTTGCAAAAACATCTTAATTCTTTATGGGGATTACGTAATGATCAAAGTGTGAGACTACTTAATGGTACATGAAAGAGGATTAAGTAGTGATCAAAATGTGACAAATGGAGAAACCTTTAATGTTTGAAACAACATCTACGAACAACAGCCAATTAGGAAAACGTAAATGCTATCAAAACAATGCTTGAGAAAAACAACTTGATCAAAGATCAGGACACACTAAAACTTTTAACAATAGCAATTTGAGAAGGGTGGATTTTGTCCATTTTTGTTAAGAAGAGGTGGATTTTGTCTGGGGTGGCAATTTTGGGGTGGATTTTGTCCGGGTGGATTTTGTCCAGGTGGATTTTGTCCGGTCACCATTATGTTCATACAACAATTGTTCCAATTTGTTGATGGGGTGGTGGGGTAGCCTCAGGGGTGGAAATAACTTGAAAAATTGCTAGTGTACTCCGGTACAGTGGCCCATGTAAGATCACTTGCCCTGATAATTTATCCACTATACTGGCCGTTTTCTTGTTGATTTTTTAAATAAACAACATAATTAACATTGGAATATCAACTGGACACCAGTACAATGTGATATACAAATTTGCTTGCCCAAATGAAAAAAACACTGGACTCGGGCTTCGCGCAATGGGTTATTTCCACCCCTGAGCCTAGTGGTTAAAGGGTCCTCTCGTCACACTGGATTCAAATCCCCACATGGGCACAGTGTGTGAAGCTGATTTCTGGTGTTTCCCGCCCTGATACTGCTGGAATATTGCTAAAAGCAGCGTAAACCCATTGTTGATTGATTCTTGTTTAACACCACTCTGAGCAATATTCCAGCTATATCACTCCCAGGCTAGCTACTATTCTACTATCGTGGAAGGATCTGCTTAAAATGTAACAATTGCAGAAAAGCCAACGACTGATATTTCTTTTGCCCCCACACAACACAAGTGATGACATGGTAGGCATAACATTGTACATAACCAGGAGATGGAACCGTATGATCAATACTTCATAGGCAAAGTTGAACCATTATCAGCTGGGCACAAAGCTGTGGATTGGTGGGAGTTGATTCCTGTAGTCATGATACCAGTAATTTGTGGTCAGGCCTTGAATATACTTGTCAGTACAGACTATATTTGTACCTTGACCACATTGATACTGACGGATTTGATAAATCAAATGGTCTCTTTGCCCAAGGCAATAGTCACAGACAAACTGGTAAACAGAGATTCCTGATTGTTGCCAAGATTGCCAGTGATCCGGAAAGCTTCTCTGGGGTGGATATAACCCATTGCCCAACGTCCAAGTCCAGTGTTTTTTTCTGTTGGGCAAGCAAATTGTATATCACACTGTACCAGTGTCCAATTGACTTTCCAATGTTAATTATGTCGTTTATCTCAAAAATCAACAAGAAAATGGCTGGTATAGTGGAAAAATTATCAGGGCAAGTGAATTTACATGTGCCATTCTACCGGAGTACACTAGCAATTTTAAAGTTATTTCCACCCCTGCTTCTCAGATGTGTGAGGAGTCTGTGTGAAAAGTTCAGAGCAATCAGCCTGTTTATGTTGCTTCAGGACTACCTCAGCGGTCAAGTAGATAGAGGGTCTGATAGAGGATGTAATGGCTGGTGGTTCTATTCTCAGATGAGCCACACCAAAAGATGATGAAAGATTGTACTTGTTGTCATCCTGCCTGGATGCAACAAGGGCTGGTTGCCTGAGAGTCAGTATTCTGTGTCTGTGCAGTTATAGTATGACCAGAAATTATTGAGAATTTTAGGAATATGTTTACTTGGATTTCTAGTATAAACAACCTTGACCAGCTATCATGTGCTTGGTTTCATTCAAGAGAGACAAGTCCGTTAATCCTTTTTCATTAGTTTGTGAAGAGTTATCCCCCTTTGTTTACATGCTGGTAGACAACATTTTCAGTGATCCTCAGTATGGATGACTTAGAGAAGAGGAAGTTTATTTTAGAGTATTATAACAAGGAAATCAGATCAGCTAAAGTGATTTCAAGTAGAACAGGCATCCCTTTGTCCACTGTTTATCGTGTTTTGAAAATATTGCAAATGGATATGGCATTGAGCACCAGGGAGGCGCAGGTAGGCCCAGAAAATTGACTGTCGGTGACAGGAGGCGGCTTGGTATTCTTGTTTCTATAAACAAATGAAGGAGTTTAGAAAACTTAAGGCTGGATATGATTGCTAGAGGAACTGTGGCTGTCTGTAAGGAGACAATTAGAACTGAGCTGCATGCAATGGGTTGGCAGAAAAGTCGAGGAATTCCATCCCCGATCATGAAACCTCAACAAAAGGAGCGAAGGTTGAACTGGTGCTTACAGCAAGCTGCATGGAAATTTTAACTTGGAAAATGTGATTTTCTCAGATGAAAATTCTGTGTGGCTGTTTCCTAATACTGAAGTTCTGGACCAAACAAAGTGAAAAACCTTTGTATCAGCGTCCAAAGTACAGTCCGAAATTTAACGTTTCGGGTGGCATATCTGTGCACTGTTAGGGGCAACGCCCCTCTGTGTATTTGAAGGGAATGTGAACAGTGAGTGGTACACAGATATTCTTGAGGGACATTTACTTCCATCTGCTCACGTGTTCTATGGAAAGTTTTGGATTTTCCAGCAGAACAACAACCCAAAACATCGTTCAAAGCATTCACAGGCCTGGTTTTGGACCCAAAATATGACATTATTAGATTGGCCAAGCTATAGCCCTGACCCAAATCCAATAGAAAATGTTTGGGGACTTATGAAGGAAAGCGTCAATAAGAAAAATGTGACGAATTGAAATATTGCTGAAATGAAAGAAGAGGTGGTCCGATATTGGGACAGCATGGACCACGACTTTCTAACTTCTTTGAT